TGATTTGATTCGATAAATACTTGAATTTGACTGATTATTTAATTCTTATATAATATATATAATAATTATATTATATAAATAATTTATATACTTTATATAAATAAAATATTTATTATATATATTTATTAATTACCTAAAATAATTAATTGGTCAAATTCAAGTAGAATCAAATATTTGAATATTCAATCGAATTTGTATATTGGATTTTTTAATCGAATTCAAATTCGGATATTATCCAATTCGACTCCAAGTTGATCCGTTTACACCCCTACTTGCCATCCCACAAAGTCTTGCTTAGGATCAATGCTTTATACATGCATACATGTTTATGTATCTTATCCAAATGTTTCCAACTCATTGTTGATTTAACCATTTGAACCGTTATTCCCTGTTTTAACTTGTTGATTGGATCATGGGTTGCATACTAAATGTGTATAGGGGTGGGTATTTAGTTTATTCGGTTTAACCAACTAAACCAAAGTAAAAAAAAAACAAATTAAAAATAATGAAAACCAAATTGGAACTGAATCATAAAAAAATCGAAAATAACCAAAACTGAAAATTTTGGTCTATTTTTGGTTATTTCGATTAAAACTGAATTAGAATAATATATACACCATATTATATATATTATAACATATATGTTATGAAATCAAATTTCATTCTATTATATATTACATGCTATATAGCAAAGTTTGGTTAATTTGGTTTTTTAACAGAATTTCTAATTCTAAAAATAAAAATAACCCAAAAAAACTAAATGAAAAATGAAATCGAAATTTCTGGTTCGGTTTTCCATTTTAACCAAATAATGTTCAACCCTAAATGTGTATGCAAACTTTAGGAGGCCATAACTTTGCATTCCAACTTTTTGAGATCTATGTATTCTAAGGACCCATAGGTGCATTGCCCTATTAATTTCATGAAAAAAAACTTTTTGGCCTCAAACCATATTTTAAATATTTGGTTCCAATTAAAAAAATAAAAAACTAGATCAAAAGAGCATAAATTTAATATAAAATAGCACATATATTACATGTAAAAATAAATATATATTATTTATTGATAAAATACATATGTAGGCATGCCTATTTACACGCATACACACATGCACATGCGTACATACATATGTGGCAATGTTTTACCCATTTTGACCTAGATGGTTGAATTGATGACTTGTGACCTAGAGGCAAGAGTGGTTTGGGCTTGAGCCGTTTTTAAAACATGGCTGTCATAGTGAAGCACGGTTTTTGCCTCTTTTGTTGATATAGACAATAAGGCTGAACAATGTAAATATTTTCATATTATTAATAGTACTTGTTTATATTCATCTTTGTTTGGATTTCATTAGTTTTGGTTGTTATTGTAATTTTTTAATTGCTATTCATTTCAAATACTTTATAATTTTATCTTATAGGTAGTTGTTGTGAGCCCTAACATCTCGTACCAATAGTTTTCTAAGCTGGAGGAAGAGTTAGAAAGACTGCATTTGCAATGTAAATACTGGGCCAATGTTATTTTACATCCCAACCTGATTTTGTATCCATTTGGATGGAGTGTAATTAAACACCGGAAATTGATGCAAAATTTCATATATATCGATAATTGGTATAAATATAACTTTGATAACTATGATATAAAATACTGATTCACATTTAACACTTTTAAACCTTAAGCCAATTGGTTTCATCTATGTAAAACTACATTTACATGGTTTTCAAATGCTACCAATAAGGTAAATTTATGATGCAAAAAATATATGACACAAGACTTTTAAAGATTCCTCGTGATTTTTTTTTTCCATGGAGTGGGTGGGTGAGTAGGACATGATGGGGATACAAAGCCATCCCACAAACTGAAACAAAAAACCTCTCTAACCCTAATGTAGATGGGGTTCGATTCTAAGTATTTGATACAATTGACAAGGTTAGTAACACAAAACCCAAGTCCAAGAGAAACTTGCAGGAAAATGATAAGATGACCTACTTTCGTCGGAGACAATGGAGTTTGACCATTGGGAGGCTGAAGTTTGGTTGAGATAATGAGAAGTTTTCGGTCCTTGGAAAATTTTTCTCACTTGTTTCTCAATATTTCACTTTGATGGCGCATGTTTTTGATGAGATATTGTATCATTGATTTTGTGAATCAGGTTCACATTGCATTTCACTATTTGTCTTAAACTAAACATGAAAATGGAGGAATCTAAAGGGAAGTTGCCTTTTCTCATACTAGTCACGACAACCAAATGGAACCTTATTTTTTAGGGAAAATTCCCGATTAGTACCCTATATTTTGGGCCTAATTCCACTTTGGTCCCCGAGCTTTAAAATGCGACAATTCAGTACCCGAACTTTCAAAACGTGCTAATCCGGTGCCTGCTGTTAATGGACCGTTAGCTGTGTATGTGATATCATGTGCGACTTAAGTATTTTAAAAATGCTAGAATTACCCTTGAAATAAAACATAGTTGATCATTTTCTTGCTCAAAAAGATGAAACACACAGAACACCAAAACTTGCATTTAGATGTGATTTTTAATACAAATGGGTGATGATGATGCACCCTATTCTTTATTATATTACTTCGAAAAATCCATTATTTGGTTTATTCTATTTTTGTTTTGAATCACCTAGCATCTATTCTCTACCATTAAACTCAAGCAGGGGTATTTTTTCCGTGAAAATACAAATAAAAACCAAGTTTTTGATTAATTGGAACAAGGAAAAAATATCACTTCTTCTACTAAATGATGAATTTAATATTACAAATGGAAAATTTCCCCTCAATTAGGATACATTAATTTGTACAAATCACCCTCCCCTCCAGCAACAAGAGTGTAACTCTTTTATAACACAATTACAGTCTGGCTATGTCCGGTCCTCTTGTCAAGTCGGCCATCTCATTTCCTTTTGAATTACAGGAATTGTAACTTCAACACCAATAAGGCAATAATCCCCAACAAATCAAATGAAAGAAAAACTTTCTTATTATCCTCAAAGCTACAAATGCCAAGTTAAGCTATGGTGAATCAACCCTTACATTAGAATTTGGAGAGCCTGGTACTTGAAATCTCACATTCAAGTCCAGTGGAACTGAATTTGGATTCTACCATAGTGATGATCCCCTCCAAGGTGGTTGAGAACATAACCCTGTCCAAGTGGTTTCTCATGGTCATCCGCAAATTACTATAAATTATTGTATTTGAACTCACAAAAAACTTTGGTTCATTTGAATCTAAACTTTTTATAGGAGCTAGATGGACAAAATCACTATTATTATTTCTTGAAATCGTATCAAGATGTTAAGAAGGCATTGGCACCTCTAAACTGAACTCAAATTACCCCCTTAAGAGAAGAACAACGTAAAGACCAAAGAATGTATTGAAGACCCATCTCTGTATATTGTCATTCACTCATTCATACATATATTTCTAATGCACTGCTGCAACGTACCATACAAAATGATGTACCTAACGTTGTTTTCATTGGTAGTGGGAGCAGATATGGACTCTTGCTAGATTGCCTGTCCCATTGTTTTATAATATGTGCGCCTTTGTTTCAACATTTCACATGTTTTTACAATGATCTTGATCTCGTATCTCAAATTTTTCGTCCCTGGCCATGCCACGTGTCCTATGCACCGGCAATGAAGTGGGCTTTGAAGCTGGATCTCTCTTGAGGATTGCCTTTCGAGCTAGAAATAAAAAAAAATTGATAGTTTCTTTTGATTTGAGTGGATGATTGATAAAGAAAAAATATTTTGCAGTTCATTGCAGAATTCCGAATTATAATTAACCTCCCTCCTCCTATAAACCACATCCTTCCCATGGATTTGGTTAAGGCTGTTCATGGGTCGGGTTGGGTCGGTTTACTGAGATTTTTTCAATCGAGCCGACCTGGTCAGGTTATCTAAAATTGAAACCGAAACCGACCCTCTGTTAAGCAAAATCGATCTGGTCGGTTTGAGTCGGGTTGGGTTGGTTTGGGTCGGTTTCAGCTCTAAGTTCAACCATGGTAATAAATTGGTAGATTGGAGAAAGAAGACTGAAATTTGATTTTAAAAAGGACACATAATTCTATTAGAGAAAGAATACTGAAATTGGTAAGACTGAAAATGATAGGGGGGCGGACCAAGTTAGAATATAAGTTATCAAGAAAATAGAAAGTCAATCTGTATTAGAGAAATAAGACTGAAATTTGTATATTTCAATAAACCTTATAATCTAAGTAAAAAAGGACACATAATTATAATTGTAATTGGTTGCCTATTTAGTGTAAAAGGCCATAAAAAGTAGGATCATTTGATTATTTTCTTTAAACTTTTCCAAAAAAATTCTTTGTCTAGTTGTCTTACAATACTTGCCATTAATGTCATTCATATTTAGAAGACTATAAATTAAGTTAGGTTGTAACTAGGATAGAGACAACTTAGTTAAGTAAGAAATAAGTAGGTTGTAACTACTAATTAGGAACTAACTACCAACTACTAAATCTGTTCGATTCGGGTCGGTTTTGATTTTCATATGTGAAAACTGAAACCAACTCGAACCATCGATTTATGATTTTTTATAACCCGAATCTGGTTGATGCTAAAAAAAACCCAGCCGACTCAGGTTGGGATGGTCCGAATTGATCAATTTGGTCATCCTCTATACGGTAGGTTAAAAAATCTGAGCTGGCTGATCAATCAATCTCCCTAAAGAAAAATACATGACACCCGTGTCTTTTTGCATACCAATAATATTAATTAATGATAAATAATAAATCCATAGTTTTGAAAATCTGGATATTAAATTATTGATTTTAAAGTTTGGGACCAAAATGTCACTATGCCCAAATCACAGCGTACTAATGGCGAATTTCAATCTCCCTAAAGAAAAATACTTGACACTCGTGTCTGTTTACATACCAATAATATTAATTAATGATAAGTAATAAATTCATACGTTTTGAAAATCTGGATATTAAATTATTGATTTTAAAGTTTGGGACCAAAATGTCACTATGCCCAAATCACAGCGTACTAATGGCGAATTTCCCCTAATTTTTACTCGGATACTCCCGTCATCATCTCAACTGAAGTTGTCGCCTGAGAGTTGCGTGCACCGGACTTCAGTAGGTGGTGCTTATATGGGCGTGGAGGCGTGGACGTCGTTCACGTCGTTGGCAATTTTCACGCGAACGTTTCGTTAGAGAAACGTGAGAGTTGAAGTTGAGCGCCCGCTCGAACCTTATTCATGGTTCGTACGACTCGCCTACTGAGCTCGTCCGAGCTTAGTCGCATTATTTTCACGTATCATTATCGGAGTCGGAGCCCCAGATATTTCGCCGGAACTTCTCAATTCCTAAGCAATCACACCAGAACAAGACATAATCAAGACTCGACCTGTCCTAACCAGCAATTAAAGTCCCTTGGGTTCGCTACTGGTCACCGGGAAATTCTACGATTCAAAAGGACAATGGAAACCCGGGCAACACCTTTGCCGGAATTTGCTGCATCTGTCCCTAAGGACTCAGTGCACGTTCAAAACCCTAACCTTCCAGAGATCCCCGTGGACCAATCCGGACAAAACTCTAGCGCAGACATCTTCGAAAATCCCAAAAGTTCATCTCAAACAGTTGCTATGGTTGATGCTATTGGGCTCGGTAATGCTTCTGCAGTTACTGAATCCGAATGTTCTGAAGTTCTTGTAACAGAGACAGAACGGAGGAAGGCTCTTCCTGAAGAGTTTTCGAAAGATGTGGTGTATTTGCAGTGTGAATCGTCTGCCGAAGGTGGTTCCTGCGATGTTTACTTAGTCGGCACTGCCCATGTTTCCATGGTAAATTGTTTTTGTTTTGATTGATCAGTTTCTGTTCTTGATATGTAAGGAAGCTCCCGCGCAGGATTGAGAAATCACGCTTTCTTAGTGGGTTCAAAATATAGATTCCAGTCCATCTTACATCAATTAACGTTAGATGCATTTCTATTATGAACCTCAACCAGTGTTTGTTCTTACCCCTAAGTTGTAAGGTTTTTCATATCTGTCACCTGGAAGGAAATGATTTTCTAATGTTATTCTTTTTCATATTTAAGCCATTTTCATATTGCTTGGTTGCAGGAGTCTTGTAAACAAGTTCAAGCAGTCATCAGTTACTTGAAACCCCAGGTGCTTCCCTTTTGAAATTCACAAACAATTGATTAATGGATGGATACTTTAGCAGGTTGGATACCTGCTTTTTAACTGTACAACTGCTGATTTCCATCTTCTAAATTTGGTGAAGGACTTCCTTATACTTGTGTTTTTTTACCTGTTGATGAAAGGTGGTTTTCTTGGAGTTATGCTCTAACCGGGTGTCTGTACTCACCCGCACCCCTCAAAATGTAAAGGTATTTAATTATCTTTTGTAGCTTTTCTTTTTCTCCCTTTATGTTCATAATTTCCACATATTTGCAATATATCTTTTTATCTCACACAGAATGCGCTACCTAGCAATTAATTGTTGTCTGATTTCATAAGGGCAACTTTGTCTTTGTTAATCCAAACCAATAATGTATTTATTCATTCTCTTCAGTATTTTTTCCCTTCAAGTTAATAACACATTGAACACCATACTTTCTATTAGTAGAAAAATTGGTTCTTTTCATAAACCCGTGTTATAATTGTATGCTCAAAGTAAACAGCAAATTAGCTGCTATTGTTTGTAACCTCTTCCCATTACTTCACTTTTTAGGTTATAAGAATCCATCCTATTGTTTAACCTTTTATGATGAATTGTTACGATTTAGTTTTTTTTTTTTTTTTCAAAAATTAAAATAGATTAGCTAGTATAACAGTAATCTTATCATTCATCTATAGTATATAAAGCAGATAATTGCCTTGGGTTCCATGTATATTTCATAAAAGTTAAATCTAATTAAATACCATACATTATGTATGGTTAATACTTATTTCATTTTATATATATACTCATACACACACAAACACACAAACACACAAACACACTCCTTTTTTTGCTTGGGCTAACTTCTCCAGAGAAGCTGTTGTTTTATGCTCCATAGTTCCATTTTGGGGATCTATGCTGTGATATTCCTTTCTCCCTTTATCCTTGTAATCACTCACTTGAAGAAGGAAAAAGGTTGGTGTTTATATCTTATGTAGCTGGAATGTATGTTGGATATTGTGATGATTCCTTGAGGTTTGCTTGATTGGCACTGCAAGGAATCAAAGCTCAAAGTGAATACGAGACCCTTCTATTTTCTGGTCAGGGGATGATATCTTTTTGTTTTCCAGAATATTGAACTAAAATGGGCTTTTGTCTATGCTTAACTCCATGTACATGAATAAAATTAATGATAAATGGTTAAGGTGCAAAGACATTTGGAGGCCTCTACCTAGGGGATAGGGATAAATGAATAACATGTAAGGTAGGGGAGCTACCTTTCCTTTACCTAGGGATGCCGGTGGGGTCAAACTACCGTCAAAGACAGCAACAATTAACATTTGGAGGCCTCTAATGCAAAGAGTGGAGAGGCGGTTGAACAGATGGAAGGCCAAGTACCTGTCCTTGGGTGGGAGAACCACTCTTATAAAGAGTGTTCTGTCCAGTTTACTATCTTTCCTTGCTAAGAGTCCCTAAAGAAGTGGCTATGAAAATTGAGAAAATTCAAAGAGATTTCTATGGGAAGGAGTGGGGGGGGGGTTCCAATTCATTTGGTCAAGTGGGAGAAGGTGTGCAAGTCAAAGGAGGGGGGAGGTTTAGGGCAAGGGTAAAGTTAATCAACAAAGCACTGCTAGGGAAGTGGTTGTGGAGAATTGGGCAAGGGAGAGAGAGGGAGGTTTTATGGAGGAGGGTGGTGGTTGGAGAATATGGAGTGGTAAGGTTCGGGTGGGAATCAAGGGAAGTAAGAAGTTCTTATGGGGTTAAGTGTTTGGAAAGGAATCATGAGTTTCAATCAAGAGTTTAGAATTTTGGTCAAGCTCAAAGTGGGGGATGGCTCTAGAGTGAGGTTTTGGGAAGATGAGTGGCTTGGGATAGGGAAGCTTTATGATGTTTACCCAAGATTATACAAGTTGACAGAAAAACAAGTTTCAATAGACCAGTGTTATGAGTGGAGAGACGTGCAAATATTTTGGAATCTGAAATTCAGAAGGCCTCTATTGGACCAAGAAGTGGAAGAATGCATTCTGTTATTGGAAAAATTAAAAGGTATCAACATTACTAGATCTACAGAAGATGGTTTATGGTGGAAAGAACGTAGAGAAGGCAGATTCCCTGTTAAGTCATTCTATAAGGCATTATTAAGAGAAGGAATGGAGTCAGACCAGATAAAATGAGTGTGGGGTAACCCAGTGCCCCCAAGGGTAGAAGCCTTTGCCTGGCGGCCCTGGCCGGTGGCGCATGACAGTATTCTCACTTCTGACCACCTGAAGTCTAGGGGATTACAGTTGGCAAGCTGGTGTTACTGGTGTAAACGGGAGGAAGAAACAGTCCTTCACTTGTTCTTCTCATGCAGTGTAGCAAACTTCATTTGGAAGTTCTTCTCCTTTTTGTTTGGAGTGAGTGTTTTCCAAACAATGTTTCCAGCAGAGATCTTCTCCAAATGGCCAAAACTCGGAGGAAGCAAGAAAGGGAGAATTCTTTGGATCTGCATTCCATTTGCAGTATGGTGGTCTATATTGGAAAGAGTGAAACAAAATGGTTTTTGAGAATAAGTCAAAAAGTATTGAATATCTGGTAGCAGCTGTGAGAAACCTGATTTCTGACTGGGTTCTTAGACTTCCAGAATTTGATCAAGTATCCAAAGCTGATCTGTCAGAGAGATTTTGGAGCACCCTTGATTTACAGCCTTGTAATAATGATTAATTTTCAGTTTGATTTCTAGTGTGTATTTGGTTTGTGAACTTGACAACCATTGGTTTTCTTAGTGTTTTAAAAGCCAAAGGTGCAGGCAAGGCGCAAGGCGAGGTGCGCGCCTTTTTGAGGCAAGGCGTACAATTTTTTGAAAAATAAAAAATAAATGAAAAAAATTGAAGGGTATAATTAAAAGACATATTCCTAAACTTCAAATTAAATTAAATGATTAACAAACAACCTATTAATATGCCAGATAACAACAAAAATCTGAAATAATCAAGTTCTCAAGTACTCACCAATGATCAATGACCAATCAACATTAAGTTTAGGACTTCAAGCAAGCTACAAGCCATTAATGCAATACAATGCACAACAATCACATAAAGTTAGAGTCATGTCAAAGTCATACTATCATCATAGGCAATTTTCTTTCAAAAAAAGAGACAGAGACAATTTTCTTTAAAAAAAAAGACATATAGATTATAGACATCATAGACAGTTTTCTACCCAAAAAATGAGTCATAGACATTTTTCTATATAAAAAAAAGAGTCACTTGAATAAATCAGAACTGCTGCTGTGTAATCTCAGAAGAGAAACACAGGTTCGAAGAGAAGGAGAGAGAGAGAAAAGAAGAGTGGAAGGAAGAGAAGAAAGGAAGAAAGAAGGGGTTCGGTTGATGATATCTGCTGCCTCATACATTCTATTATTTATAGCCTTTGGCTCCTTACAAGAATAGGAGAGAAAACATAAAATCCTAGTCCTAGTAAAACAAAACATAAAGTCCTAGTCCTAGTAAAACAAAACATAATATGGATAAACATAATAAGGCCAGCCGGCCCAATCTTAAAAGAAAAATAAAAAATAGCTAGGTGTGGGTATGGAGCCACATACACTAGAGCCTGAGTGTGGGTAAGGAACCCCACACTTGTGACTTAGTAACTATTTCTTCACTCTCCCTCAAGTTGGGAGTAGATATTTGTCATGCTCAACTTGCGTAAATCTGTCTCCAATTTGATTTTTGTGACTGCTTTGGTGAAGAGATCAGCTAACTGCATGTTTGAGGCAATGTAAGGAAGGCATACTTCTTGAGATGCAACTCGCTCTCGGATAAAATGTCTGTCAACCTCAATATGCTTAGTCCTGTTATGCTGTATTAGGTTATGGGCAATATTAATTGCAACTTGATTATTGCAATACAACATCAGAGGCTTCTCATAATCAATCTCCAACTCATTAAGCAAGGATTTCAGCCATAACACTTCTACAACACCATTGGCCATGGATCTGTATTCTGCTTCTACACTGGAGCGAGCAATAACATTCTGTTTCTTGCTTCTCCAAGAAACAAGGTTTCCCTCCACAAATGCACAATATCTAGAGGTGGACCTCTTGTCATCAACACATCTAGCCCAGTCCGCATCTGTATACCCTTTTAGTTTCATATGACCATTATTCTTGAAGAGTATACCTCTCCCTAGACATCTCTTATAGTAGGCAAGAATCCTTTCTACTGCAAGGAGGTGGTGGTCTTAGGAGAATGCATGTATTGACTGACAACTCTAACAACATAAGAAATATCTGGCTGAGTTTGGCAGAGATGAAGAAGTTTCCCAACCAGCTTGTGGTATATAGCCCTGTCCTCATGGAGTTCTCCACTTTCTGCACTTATCTTATGGTTAGGCTCAATAGGAGTATCAGCATGTTTCACTCCTAACTTTTATGTTTCTTCCAATAAGTCCAGAACATACTTCCTTTGAGAGATGAAAATGCCATGCTTAGATCGAGCTACCTCAATTCCTAGGAAATAGTGTAATTTCCCTAGGTCTTTCACTTCAAATTCTTTGTGAAGATGCTGTTTAAGGGTTTCAATTTCACTAATGTCACTCCTTGTTATAACAATGTCATCTACATAGACTGCAAGTAGATTCAGGGAATGACATGTCTTCAAGAAGAGAGTGTGATTTGACTAAGCCTGTATGTATCTGAATTTGTCCAAAGCCAGTCTAAACCTATCAAACCAAGCTCTTGGAGATTGTTTCAGCCCGTACAAGGTCTTCTTCAAAAGGCAAACTTTCTTTCCTTCTTCTGTACTATAAAAGCCCGGGGGTAACTCCATGTAGACTTCCTCTTGCAAGTCTCCGTTGAGGAAGGCATTCTTAACATCCAGCTGAAATAGTGGCCAAGAGTAGTTTGCAGCAATGGATAGAAGAACTCTGATAATGTTCATTTTTGCAATAGGTGCAAAGGTTTCTGTAAAGTCTATGTCATAAGTTTGTGTGAATCCCTTTGCAATCAATCTGGCCTTATACCTCTCTACAGTACCATCAACATTATATTTCACAGTAAACACCCATCTGCATCCAATAGGTTTCTTCCCTTCAGGTTGGTTAACTAGTTCTCATGTGTTGTTCTTGACAAAAGCATCCATCTCTACTTGCATTGCTTCATTCCATTCAGGTATCAAAAGGGCTTCTTGCACTTTTCTAGGTATAGGAATAGCAGAAATAGATGCCAAGTAAAATCTGTAGGAT